ACCTTGAAACAAATGAAAATGAACACACAACAACCCCAGATCTATGGGGCATAGCAAAAGCAGTCCTAATAGGGAAATTCACAGCAATACTGAACTACCTTTAAAAGAAAGAAAAAATCTTAAGTAATCATACTTTATGCCTAAAAGAACTAGAAAAAGAACAACAAACAAAACCAAAAGTAAGTAGAAGGAAGGGAATAGTAAAGATTAAAGACATAAAGAGTAAAAAATAAAGTACAAAAAAAGTAATAAATGAAACTAAGAGCTGGTTCTTTGGAAAGACAAACCAGATTGAAAACCTTTAACTAGACCCATAAGGAGAAAAAGAGAGAGGACCCAAATAAATAAAATCAGAAATGAAAGAGATGTAACAACTGACACCATAGAAATACAAAGGATTGTAAGAAAATATTATGAACAACTATATGCCAACAAATTGGACAATATGGATGAAATGGACAAATTCCTAGAAAGATAAAATCTTCTAAAATTGAATCTAGAAGAACCAGAAAATCTAAATAGACCATATACAAGTACTGAAATAAAAGCAGTAATCACAAAACTACCAGCAAAAGTCCTGGACTGGATGGCTTCATGGGCGAATTTTACCAAACATTCAAAGAAGTTGTACCAGGTTTCCTTTTCAAACTATTCAAAAACATTCAAGAGGAGGGAAGACTCAGAGCTCATTTTATGAGGTCAGCATGTTCCTAATTCCAAAACCAGATAAAGATACTACAGGAAAGAAAATTATAGGGCAATATCCCTGATGAACATCAATGTTAAAATCAACACAATATTAGCAAACCAGGTCAAGAAATACATTAAAAAGACAACATACCATGATTAAGTGGGATTTATTCTGGTGATGCAGGGTTGCTACAATATCCACAAATCAATAAATATGATATACTAAAAAATAAAATGAAACATAAAAAGCATATGTATGCAGAAAAAAACATTTGATGAAATCCACTGCCCAATTATGATAAAAACTCTCAGGAAAGTGGAAATAGAGAGAACATACCTCAATGTAATAAAGGCCATATATGACAAACCCACTGGCAACATCATACTCAATGGGAAAAAACTACATTTCCCCTAAGATTGGGAATAAGACAGGGAGTCGGCTTAAGCCATGCTTATTCAACATAGTACTAGAAATCCTAGCCACAGCAATCAGACAAGAAGAAATAAAAGGCATCCAAGTTGGAAAGGAAGAGTAAAACTGTTATTATTTGCAGATGACATGATACTGTATATAGAAAACTCCACCAAAAAACTGCTAAAATGGATAAATTCAGTAAAGTAGGATACAAAATTAATATTCAGAAATCGGTGACGTTTTTATACACCAATTAGAAACTATCAGAAAGAGAAACTAAGAAAACAATCCCATTTAAAACTGCAACAACAACAAAAAAAGGTACCTAGGAATGAGTTTAACCAAGGAGGTAAAGAAAGTTATAAGACACTAATGAAAGAAGCTGAGGAAGATACAAATCAGTGGCAGCACATACCATGCTCATGGATAGGAAGAATTAACACCATACAAATGTTCATACTACATAAAGCAATCTATAGATTCAATGCAGTTCAATGCAATTCCAATGGCGTATTTCACAGAACCAGAACTATTCCAAAACTCTATATGGAACCACAGAAGACCCTGAAGAGCTTCAGTAATCTTGAGAAAGAACAAAGTTGCAGGTATCATGCCACCTAATAGCAAACTATACTACAGGCTTCAGTAATCAAAGAAGCATGGCACTGACATAAAAACAGACATGTAGACCTATGGACAGAACAGAGCCCGTAAACAAACCTACAGCTTTATGGTCAGTTAACATTTGACACAGGAGGCAAGAACATACAATGGGGTAAAGACAAAACATTACTGAGAAAACTGGACAAATATATGCAAAATGAAACTAGGACCCTCTTTTCACCCCGTATAAACTTGAAATGGATTAAAGATTTAAATCTTAGACTTAAAGCGATAAACATCCTAGAAGATGTCCTGCCGGCATGGCTCAGTGGTTGAGTGTTGACCTATAAACCAGGAGGTCATAGTTCAATTCCCGGTCAGGGCACATGCTCGGGTTGTGGGTTTGACCCTCAGTGTGGGGCGGGCAGGAGGCAGCCAATCAATGATTCTTTCTCATCATTGCTGTTTCTCTCCCTCTCCCTTCCTCTCTAAAATCAATTTTAAAAAGTAATTTTTAAAAATCCAGAATAGGCAGTAAAATCTTGAACATTTCTTGAAACAATATTTTTTTCTGACGTATCTTCTCAGGCAAGGGCAATAAAAGAGAAAATAAACAAATGGGACTACATCATTATAAAACGTTTTGGCACAGCAAAGGAAACCATCAACAAAATGAAAAGATAACCTATTGAATGGAAGAACATATTTGCCAATGATACATCTGATAAGGGGCTAATATCCAAAATTTATAAAGAACTTATATAGCTCAACAGCAAAAAAAAAAAAAAAAAAACCAATCCAATTAAAAAATGGGTAAAAGATCTGAATAGGCACTTCTCCAAAGAGGACATACAGATGGCCAATAGACATATGAAAAGATGCTCATCATCACTAATCATCAGAGAGATACAAATTAAAACCACAATGAGGTATCACTTCCCATTTGTCAGAATGACTTTCACCAATAAATCAACAAAAGTGTAGGCGAGGTTGAGGAGAAAAGGGAACCCCCGTGCACTGTTGGTGGGAATGCAGACTGGTGCAGCCACCGTGGAAAGCAGTATGGAGTTACCTCAAAAAATTAAAAGTGGAACTGCCTTATGACCCAGCAATCCCACTACTGGGAATTTATGCTAAGAATCCTGAAACACTGATTTAAAAGTAAATATGCACCCGTGAGTCCATTGCAGTGTTATTTACAACAGTCGAGGTTTGGAGGCTGCCTAAATGTCCGTCAGTAGCTGAGTAGACAAAAAAGCTGTGGTACATTTACACAATGGAACACTACTCAGCCACAAAAAGAAGAAAATCTTACCTTTTTGGATGGACCTGGAGATATTATGCTAAGTGACATAAGCCAGTCAGAGAAAGGCAAATACTGTGTGTGATTTTACTCATATGTAGAATCTAATGAACATAAACAAAACAGAAACAGACCGACAGTTGTCTGAAGAGAGGGGTTTGGGGCTGAGTGAAAATGTGTAGATTAAGAAAAAACCTCCAACATCTCATGGAGAGGGCCACCTGGGAGTTACCTCGGCATTTTCTTATAATTATTGTCAGCTGAGCTCAGAGCATAGGCAGAGCCACGCCCTGGGAACATGCTTCCCCAATAAGGCTGGGCATGTTAATCAGGCAGGGGCGGAACTAGATATGTAAAGCTAGGCCTTTAAAATAAACCTGCTGTGTGGCTCAGGCCGCTTTTGCCACCTCTCTATCAGAGAGGATGGCGCCCACCTGGCCCCAGCTTAAAATCTATTTCTGCATCTTGGTCTTTCTTTAATTTCTTAATCCCCAGCTCCTCCACTCAGCAAATGGACTGTTTCCTTTTCCATGCGGGACATGGAAAAGAGAGAAACAGCCCCCTACAATCTCATAGACACACACAACTGTATGGTGATTAGAAGAGGGAAAGGGGGTAGGGGAGGAAGACAGGGTAAAGGGATGACATGGTGACAGGAGGCTTGACTTCGGGTGAATACACAATACAAATACAGATACTATATCACAGAACTGTACATTTGAAACCTATATAACTTTATTAGCCAATGTCACTCCAATAAACTCAATAAAAATATTTAAAACAAAAGGACAAATGACGAAGATCTTCAGGCGATCCGGTTTCAAGTTTCTCCCCAAGGGTCTTTCACATCCGCAGTTCCAGGATGTTCGCCATCGCGCTGGCCCATGCTGGGAAGGCCGGTCTAGGCCGCCCTGAGCCTGGGTTGTTGGGCTGGCTGACGCTGAGCCAGCTGCTCCCAGAGCTCCGTGGGAATTCCAAGCCCAGACGGGAGTTCATCGAAGCTGGATGTTTCCACCAATTAAGCAAAATGATGCACCCAGCAATGATTATACAGGAGGCTGAGGCATCACGAGCAAGTAAAACCTGGCCTGCCTGCAGGGGGTGAGTGAAGTGCGCCCGGAATCGCCGAGGCCGCCACACACTGAGGGGGGGCACCGGGGCCACGGCCTGGGATCGCTAGGCCTCCGGGTGCATAGAGAACGGGAAGCTCTCCTCAGAGGCCCCACAGAGCAGATACAGGACTCCCCAGGAAAGCAGGGGAGTGGATTCTAGAAGGGGCAGCTTCCTTTCTCTTCTGCTGTGGCACAGCCTCCGAGTGACACCTGAACAGCACACATACCTGGCCAATCAGCAGGCACAACTGACTGGTGCCAATTCCGCCCCCCCCCCGCCCCCACTAACCGTCCTCTGAGCACTGCCTGTGTGTCTCGGATACTCCCCTCCTGTGTGTGCTCTCCCAGGACCTCTGCGCACATACCGAGTGGGGCAGCGGGGGCTGCTCTCCACCCATCTGCACACCTCGGCTGGAGGATGCTCTTCCCTGGGAGAGGGCTGTGAGGGGGAGGAGGCTGGAGCCGCGGGGACCCCAGTCCTTTCTGGTAACGTCTAGTGACGCCAGCTCAGGGCAGCTGTGGGGAATCACCGCCCAACAAGGACTAAGGCAGTGATGGCGAACCTATGACACACGTGTCAGAGGTGACACGCGAACTCATTATTTTGGTTGATTTTTCTTTGTTAAATGGCATTTAAATAGATAAAATAAATATCAAAAATATAAGTCTTTGTTTTACTATGGTTGCAAAGATCAAAACATTTCTATATGTGACACGGCACCAGAGTTAAGTTAGGGTTTTTCAAAATGCTGACAGGCCAAGCTCAAAAGGTTCGCCATCACTGCCCAGAGGACACGGAGACACTCATTTGAAAACAGTCTGAATGTGCACTTGGTAGCTGGAGAAAATACTAGCAAATGTCACTGGGAAAAATTCATAACCAGACAGAAACAAAATATATTTATTAGAAATATTAGTCATATATCATACACTTTCAGATAATCGTGCACCCAGCTCTGCTGGCCTGGCCTGCCCTGAGGACGCTCGGACCACCTGGTGAGTTTGTGCAGCAACAAGGCCACAGGTGTGTCGGCTGCATCCAACTCCCGTCGTTAACTCAGTGAGCACTCAGGGCCTCAGCAACTCTAACCGGGTCAGGGAGGCGACCACCAGTGAACTCGGGCTTCTGGGATATTAAAAACACACTCACTAGTGAAAAGGCAGCCAGGTCACACCCTTACTGCATGTCCTTGGCAGTCGTCTCAAATGGCTCAGCTCTGGGAGAGGGGTTTTCACAGACCCGAACCCTCCATCGCTGCACCCGCCTCAGCGGGGAAGAGGGTGGCTGAGAACCCTTGCGACGCCAGGCGGCTAAGCGCAGTGGGAAGTGCACTTTGTGTAACACCTGCGCACCAACCAAAGCTGTGAACAACAACAGATGGAGAAGGAATCCCGGAGGCTGCGCCCCTTTCTACAGTGAGGGGGGGGGGGGCGGAGTGTGCGTGTGCGGTTCCCCCGGACGCTACCCGGCGGCAAGGCTCGGCAGTGCCGGAGACCAAGCACAGTTCAAGGACACGACACCAGCCGGTGCAGAGACCATACTTCTTGTCTTTAAAAAACCCCGCCTGCTCTTATGGGTCTTTCATATCGCACGTGCTTTTTATATAAAAATAATACATTAAAAAAAGTGTCTGCAGAACCGCCAAGTACTTTTAAAGGACTGAGCAGTGGCTGTAGGAAGATGGGAGAAACATGGCTGTTGCAGCCTCTGAAAACCTCAGGACAGGAAACGAAATGACACAACTCGCTGATGCCGCCTCGCTTTCTATTTATCTATTTCCCACATTCCCCTTGTGCTCTGAGCTCTCCAACTGAAAACACACTTAAAAACCCTGTTCTGTGCTCAGCCCCGGCTGGGACAGCTTCTCCCCAGACCCTGCAGTGCGACCAGCCTGGCCCCCAGCTGCCTGCAGGCCCCTCCTGCCCCCGGCGCCAGACCTGCTCAGCCACTGTGCTGCCCACCAGGACACACGCGCCCCTCCTCGTGTGCCCACCAGCAACAAAATGGTGGTAAAGGAACTTCCTTGAATTATAAAAATAAGTTGGCACATGGTCTTCCTTTTGTATGACATTCCCCCTCTTTCTAACCTGCAGGGGGGGAAAAGGGCACCCCCCCCCCCAGGCCCGCTCCGCCCAGAGCCTGTGCTGAATCACCGCGGGAGTCACTGCACCAGGCGCTGCCGGTGCTGACCCCCATCCCATGCAAGGCCTCAGGGTCTCTCCTGCACTAAGCCTTGAGGTGATGAGCCAGCACCGCCACTCACCCGCCCCGGCTCCGCCCCCAAAGCGGTGGTGAGCAGGCAGAAGCAGTGGGAGGGGCAAGTGTCCCGCAGGAAGCGCCCAGCAAGGCTTTCACTTGCTCATTCGAGGAGGGGACTTGTTCGGACGGCACCCCCGCCTCCACTGGACAGCAAGGGCTGGATGTGAAAGCAGCAGCAGCACCTGCTAGGCCCCATGTGGCCACGAAGCCGCTCTCTCCTTCGGCTCAGGGATTCAGACAACACGCAGGCCCCACACCTGATGGGCAGGCCAGGCGCTCCCCAGCGCCCCGGAACCTCCACAGCGCGGAGGGTGGGCGGGCCTGCCGGGTGGCCTGGAGGGAGGGTGAACTCGCCTCTCCCAGGACAGAGCTGGGCCTGGAGCCTCAGGCCCGGCTGGGACAGCGCCCACCATGAGAGTGACGTAAGCAGGGAGAGCGCTGCTGTAACACCTAGTGACCTGTGACAATGACCCTTGTCTGGGGGCACTCACACAGCTATGGGCACCTTCATTAGCAAGTGAAGGGCACTGGTGAATTCACCCTGATTTACTTATGTGCACCGCACCCCACTTGCCATGCAATGTGCCTTTATTTGCCACCAAGAACATGAAGAACCACCGGTGGCTACTTGCTCAGCGTAACTCCCAGGCGAATGGGGCCGCTCGAGGGGGCTCTGCTGTCACTTGGAGTGACCCCAGAAGAGCAGAGAAACTGCATTTCCGCCTCTGCCCACCCTTGTTGCCATGCAAACACGAAGGCCAGCTGAAGTACTAAATGCTAAACAAGCCTAAAGTTGAAATGTTTAAATTTGCTGTCTGCCCAGTATCCCAAGAAATACACCCGCAGGCTGTTTCACTGCGCAAATACCCCCAACCCCAGCAGACACAGGGATTTCACACGGGTGGCTTCCTGTTGGTCAATTCTGCACATGGGACAAGCGTGTGTGGGTGAGAATGGGAGTGGAGCAAATGGGAGGACAGATGGAGAAGGTGAAGTCACTGCAGCTTCCCTTCAGCATGAGCACAGGCAGCTGCGGGTGACCCAGTCCCAGCACCGCCACCCAGAGAGCCAGGCTCCCACCTGCACCGCCACCCAGAGAGCCAGAGCCCACCTGGAGGCCCCCACAGGGACAGTGAAGCGAACTACCCAGGGGCTCCTTCTCATTCTCCCATGCCCATCTTCCATCCACACAGCATGTGCAGGACAGTGGTCTCAAACTGTGACCAAGGCCTAGCTGTGCCGCTGACACCTAGACCATAAGTGTACCCCAGACGGCAGGGTTCACGTGTTCCAGGCTGCAAATGCTTATCTTTTGTTGGCTGTTTTTGGAGGGAGCGGGTGGGTTTTTTTAAAGGCCAAAGCCGGGACGCTGGTAACGAGGGGACTGGCAGGAAGTGCCTGCTGTCTCTGTGAATCTCAGGGCGGCTCCAGGGGCGGCCACAGCTGCACATGCCATGCTGGGGTCTCCTGGGTCTGGAAGGAGGGAGGCCCTGGGACAGCAAAGCTTCCCCAACTCACACCCCAAATGCATCTCAATTCCAGGTGGGTGCGCGGTGGAGCCAACTCTGTCTCATTTGTCAGCTGGGACCCTGGATGGAACCTTCCTTTGAAACCCAGCGGCCAGGCCGTGGCCGTGAGAGCAGGGCCTGTGGGGTGACCGGGGCTTCCGGGACGAGGGCAGGTGGCGGATGGCGGGCCCCGCAGGCTTAGGTCTCGAAGTACTTGTAGATCTGGGCGACGTACTGCATGACGCTCTGCCAGTCCGGCCGGTCTGTGTGCAGCATCTCGCTGAGCTCCTGCGGGAGGAAGGGAGAAGTCACGGGCGCCACGCACCCTCCCCACAAAGCAGCTCGGACCCAGGCCAAGGCTGCGCTGTGAGAACCCCCCACGCGGGGAGGCGCAGGTGCAGGCAGCACCAAGGCAGTGGGAAACGTGATGGGGAAAAGAAAAGCGTTTTCTTCCTACTCAGAAGACACCTTCCCTTTTAAAAACATGGGACATGACCTCCACCCTGCTCACCTGTTAGCAACATGGCAGCTTTAAAAAAAGTGTGAAAAGAGGAAGTCACCCTAATTCTGTTATCCTAAGGGTCTCCGTTTCTCTGGGTTCCCTGTGATGCCACACCTGCTTCCCACACTGACCTCCCACACTGCCACTGCCGCTGCCGAGGGAACTGCTGACCACCTCCCAGCACCTGGCCGCCTCCCAGCACCCGGCCACCTCCCAGTACTCGAGGGGCAGCTGTGTTCACGTCACATCACACACTCTGTAATAAGCATCTTCGGGTGGTTTTGTGTCCTTCTGTTGAATAGTGCCTTAGAATGCATTCCAAGAATGGGATTACCTCCAAATCCTCCAATCAATTTAAAATGCAAGCATTTGTTTTATCAGAATCCCGTTACCATGCAATGCTTTTTGGTTACCCCTCTGCCCCAACTTAGTCAGCAACAAGCAGGTGGAGACCAGAGGCCAGAAAGTGCCAGGCAACAGGGCTGGAAGTTGCCTGAAATCCGTGCCATTCACTGTGCTTGACAATTCACTTGGGGCTAAACTCAGATTCTCTCGTGGCCACAGGAAAGCGGGGGAAGGACCCGAAGTAAAGGCAGAAACAAGTGCAGCGGAGCGTAAGGCTGGGCTCCGTACGGCCTGGAGCCCGGCATTCATGGCTCAACATCTAAATTCAGTTCACAGATTCTGCTCCCTGGTGACACTAAGAAATGATCAGCATATCACTGGTCGTGAAAGGGGTGGAGAAGGAGTAAGTGGAACATTCTACACACATACACCTAGAAAAATTTAAAGAGAAAGTTTTCACAGAATATAAGGACAAAAAGTCTCCTGCCTAAACTACTTAAGGAAGAAATAAAACCAATTCTACACAATCTCTTCCGGAAACAGAAGAGGACGGAACACTCCCTAATGCATTCTGCGAAGCCAGCATTACCCTAATACCAAACCCAGACAAAGACTTTACCACAAAACTACAGATCAACTTCCCACATTAATGCAGACACAAAAATCCTCAATAAAAGAAATATGAGCAGATTGAATCATGGTCAGTCGAGGCTGGTCCAGCATCCAGGAGTCAATTAGCATGACTCATATCAACAGGCTAAATAAGGAAAGCACACGCTCCTATCCACAGATGCAGAAAAGCATTACACAGACTTTAATAACCATTAATGAAAAAGCTCTAAAATCTCTAGACATAGAAGGGAATTTACTTTACATGATACAGAACCATGTGTCTACCAAAAACCACAAGTGGACGTCATACTTCGACCAGAGGAACGGAAAGCTTTCCTCTAAGGTCAGGAGAAGGGACAGGCAGGCGGTCCTCCCCCCTCTCCTACTCGACCCTGTGCTGAGCGTCCCTGCCGGTGCCACGCGGCTGGAGAGACCCTGAAGGCACACAGGCTGGCCAGGAAGAGCCCAATGTCTTCACTTGCTGAGGCATGACTGTATATGGGCAGCCCGGCCCCGGTGGGCACGCGCTCGGCCCTTCGCAGTCCCAGCAGCGATGCCGCATAGTCGGCCTCACCTGTGTCACGCGATGGGCTGAAACTCCTCCGTGTTACACCGGCCGGAGGGGAATGCTTGCTAACTTTTGGGGAACAGAGTAGTGCTTTCACTTTTAAAAAATCTCATCCTTACTCATGCTACACCCAGAAACCTGAATTTAGCTGAATGTACACATATAAGTGAGCACTTTTCTGACTAATTTAACAGCAGAGCTTGATCAAAAGTTTGGGATGGGTATTGCTGTCCATTCTGATGGGATGCATTTTAAAAATGTCAGGAGTAATTATATTATTTTCCAATCCACATCAAGATAGTGAATAAAAAATAAATAACATAGGAAGTTTCTATTCTGTTGATGACAGGAACTGGTGAAATTGCTCACAAACATCCCTAAATGCTTCTGAGATTAATCATGCTGTCAGCAGCTCCTCACAGGCCCTGGAAAATGGAATTTCTGACTCTGACAATTAGGCCAACGCGATGGTCTCCTGTGCTGCCCAGCTCTCACCAACGTCTGATGTACATTAGATGAAAATTAGGAAAAAATGCTGAAGTAAAAAGAAGCAACTATTAACTGTAATACAACAAAGATGTATTCTTGTACATCATATAACTTCTAACAAGTTCTCATTGCATCTTTGATTCCTGATGTAAGTTACTGTTACTTGTTAGCTGTTAGTGCTTCAGAGGGAAATCAGGCTCTGGGGGCTAGGGGAGGGGGATGGGGAAGGGGGAGCTTCCTCCTCACTTTCAATTCTCTGCACTTGGATGCACACACTAGGGATTCTGTTTCTTAAAGGGTTAGTAGAATGTGGGCTTTGGTTTTGGGTATGTGTGTATGACAGCATTTTAAACAATGAATTCAACGTTTTTAATGGTCCAAATACTACTTACTTCTAAGTTTTGGAGAAAGATTTACATTTAATATTTGAAATATATTTCCATTTCTTTAGAAAACTGTCCATTCTGTTTCAGACATGTTGGCAAACAGCATTCATGGGACTCAGGGTTCTCCGGCAGCTGTCCTTTCCCGTTCCCCTGGCTCAGGTTCCCCACCCGAGGGCTGTGCGCAGCCTCACTGTATTTCAGCTTAGATTTTCCTGGTCCCAATGAGACTGGACATCGTCTAAAACGGTCACTGGCCGTTTGTGAGTTGGCTATTCTAGCCTTTGACAACTTTCTACTAGATTTTTTATTTTTGTTTTCTAAATCCTCACCTAAGGATGTTTTCCCATTGATTTCTTTTCCCGCCCCATTGATTTCTTAAAGAAGGTAGAAGAGAGAGGGGAAAACAGAGAGAAACATCGATGTGACAGAAACACATTGATTGGTTGCCTCCTGCAAGCGCCCTGACCAGGACGCGGGCCAGGGAGGATCCTGCAACTGAGGTACGTGCCCTTGACCAGAATCGAACCCAGAGCCCTTTCGTCCGCAGGCTGACGCTCTATCCACTGAGCCAAACCGGCTAAAGCTACTAGATTGTTTTTTAAATTATTGGTTAGTAGAAATCATTTGTAGATTATCTCCCTTTACTATGCTGTTTCTGCAGTTTAGTTATTATTTGTCTGAATGAATTTTTTTTTAAATTTATCCTGTTGAGATTCATTAAGAATCTGTAGTCTCCATCATTCTGGGAAAATTTCAGGCACCACTTTTCTTCTGGAGTTCCTACCTGACTTGGGACGAAGTCACTGTCCGACTTTATCTCCCATGTCTCTTAGCTCTTAGGTGATTCCCATCCTCTTTTTCCCTTGCAGGCTTCCCGCTAAAGAAAATATTATCTGCTCACTTTGTCAATCCCCTGTGGCTGGGGTGACGATGTGAGAGAGGAATGCCAATGAGCTGGAGGGACTCTGATTTCCTGGTCAGAGGGGAATGTGCGAGGCTTTGCTTTATCCCGTCCCTCCTTCCTGCCCGCAGATGGGAGTGATGTCTGGCGCCTGGCATCCACATTCAACCACAGAGCCAGTAGCAAGTCGGGGAGGAAAAGCCAACATGACAGGTGGAGAAGTACAGAGAAGCAGCACTCGGGCCCTTGATTTCAACACTGAGCGGTGCCTGAAACTACTGGGTTTCTTACTTTAAAACAAAACAAAACATCTTTATGGCATTTGCAACTGCTAGCTGGGTTTTCCATTTCTTTTTTTGTTTGTTTTTCCGTTAATCCTCACCTGAGGGTATTTTATTTTCCATTGATTTTTAGAGAGTGGGAGGAAGGGAGGGAGAGAGAGACAAAGAGAGAAACATCGATCGGTTGTTTCCTGCACATACCCCAACTCGGGCCAGGATCAGGCCTGCAACCCAAGTACATGTCCTTGACCCGGAATTGACCTGGGACCCTTTGGTCTATAGGCCAACTCTTTAACCACTGAGAAAAACTGGCCAAGGTGGGTTTTCCATTTCTTAAAGTTGAATACATACTAACTTATATAACCCCTTCATTATATTTTCCATTTAAAAAATTGATAGAGAGAGATGTGAGAATCATGGATCAGTTGTCTCCCACACCTGCCCCAAACAGGGATCAAACCTGCAACCTAGGTATGTGCCTGACTGGGAAACAAACCCACCACAACTGAGCCGCCCAGCCAGGGCTAGTTTTCATTTTTTATATCCTCACTCAAGGACATTTTTCCCATTAATTTTTTTAGAAGGGGTGGAGAGAAACATTGATGTGAGAGAGACACATCTGTTGGTTGTCTTCCCCATGCACCCCAACTGGGGTCAGGGACTGAGCCTGCAACAAAGGTATGTGCCCTTGACCGGGAATCAAAGCTGTGACTCTTCAGTGCACAGACCAATGCTCCAACCACTGAGCAAAACTGGCCAGGACTATTTTCCATTTTTTTAAAGTTTCTGTTTTATGTTCTGGGTAATTTCTTTACATCTATTTTCTAGTTCAGTAGTTCTCTCTTCTTCCATAGCTAACCAATTAGTTTTTCAAGCCAACTGGTATTGCTAATTCCAAATTTTCATTTCTGGAAGTTTTATTTGATTATTTCCCCAAATCTTTTTTTTAAAATAATAACATGCTCCTTCCTTATGATTTGTATTCCTTTGATCTCTTTAACATGTTTAAACATAGTCTTCTGTAGCCTCTTTCTGTTTTATTACCTTAGGTTCTAGTAGATGAACCTCTTGTTTCTTGTGTCTGCTGACAAGTTCAAATAGATCAATTTTTTGAGTGTTTTTAAAGTTTGTCTTGTTAGCATATTTCCAGCAACCATTGTACTACTAGCCAAGGAGCTTCCTGAACTAGAGATAGTGTAAACTAGTGGCTTCTTGCACACAGAAATTACAATTTTGTATTCTAAACCTCATCTGGCTGTTCCCTTTTCTTACAGGAGGTTTCCCCCCTTTTCTTGGCCACAAAAAATCTGATGGGAAGAACAAACTTCCTTCTCGCACCTCCCTGGCGGGCAGGCGGAGTTTTCCACCCGCTCTCACTAAGAAGAGCAGCACTCTGTGAGCTTTGGTTCTGTGCAGGGCTCAGTACTTCACCTCTGCTCATGGGAGCTCAGAGCCTCACCTGTCCCTGTGTGGGTATGAAACAATACCCATAGGTACTCATTGCTGCAGGCCCTCTACCACTACCCCAGCCCCAGCCCTGGGGCTGTCAGTGTCAGCTGTGCCTCATGGCTTTGATTTTTACTACAGCTCATGCATTGAAAGGTCGCTGGTTCAATTCCCAGTCAGGGCACATGCCCAGGTTGCCGGTTCAGTCCCCAGTCAGGCACGCACGTACGGGAGGCAACCAATTGATGTTTCTCTGTCTCGCTCTCTTCCTCTTTCTCTAAAAAACCAATACAAACATATTTACAAAAGGACTTAAAAAAGCCTCTCCAAATCATACGTGGTCTGACCAACTGGATAATTTTGTATTTGAGATCATGAGTAACACATCTTCAACAAATGTATGTCTATGTTCTGTAAGAAACTGTTAGTGACGACATAAAGTTCTTCCTCACATAATTAGCCTCAAGTATAACAAGGATACAAAAGAGGATACTTACCAGGCTGGGCTTAATGCCTACACTTTCAGCTGCTTCAAATGCCAACAAGAGATTCCTTTTCTAAGGTGAAAAGACAGAGAGACTGGAATTATCAACTAAAAACATACAGCTTTTGCTAAGACCACCATTGACATTCCCATATAAGAAACCTATAAGTCACTTAAAAATTTAAGCCAAATATACAAACAATGGTCTCAGGATAAGGAAAAAAATTGTCAGGTTACAAATGTCACTAAAAATGACATTACTGACTCGACTATCAGATACATTTTTATTAATTCTGTTATTTTTCACTTTGTCTAGATACAGGGCTTATACTTCTGCTGTGTGTCAACAGCTGTTTGCTGAATCATGGTGCTATATTAAACCATCAAAGTCATGTGTCCACACAGTTACATATAACCAAGCTGCTCTTCCCCCATGCTGGGTCCTGGGAGAGCCTCTCTGATGTCGGTCCCTGGTTCTTCGGCGACACCTCCACAGCTCGGCGACACCCTCACAGACTGCTCCATGATTTCTAAAATAAGACCTCCTCCCGGAATAAGTGAGGACTCAGGTGCCATGCACCGCTCCCTTTTCTTCCTTATAGCCACATGGCTACTTTTCGTTCTGTTATGAGTTATGTCTGTGACTTTAAATCATACCCTTATATCTCCATTTCTTATTCCATCAGTTATGGACAGCACTTCCTCACCCCACTGCGTACAATGAGGAAGTTCCTTCATCTTGTCAGGTTTTACTTTTTAAACTATTGAAACTGGTAACACTCAGTTCCTTTTTTATAACCACATTTAAGTCTTCTCTCCTCTCTTAATAGGATAATTCTGAAAACCAGAAACAACCAACAGCACTGACAAAGTAGTGCACCCCAACTGCACTTCCTTCTCGACAGTTCGTCACGATGCCGTGTCACTAACGCATTTCCCACAAAGGATTCTCCTGTGACCAGCCCTGTCACCACCCTGTGAATCTTCAGGCTGGAGTCGTTCAGAACCCCATGCCATTTCCGCACAACCCCTGGCAGGGCGTACTCTGGCTTCCTTCTGAAGAAGGGGGTGGGACAGGCACCTTTTCTGGAAGCATTCACGTAGGAACAGTTCCCTCTGTACCCTCACACTTGGGCAATAACGAGGGTGAAAATAATTTTCCTGGAATTTTAAAGGTCCTGCTCCATAATAATTTTCCCCTAATTTGTTGCTTCTTTGTGAGATTCTTTCTGGTTGTTCTTGATGTTTCTTCATCTGGACGCATTTAAGAATCACTGGGTCATGCGTACTCCCCTCCATAATTTATCTGAAAGTCATTAGGATTACATTTAATGACCTTAGTAAAGTAAGTGTAATTGGGAGGCAAGTGTTTCTGTACACATTCATGTTTTATGTTCCAGTAGACTTTGCAATTCTACCCATTTAGACTTTGTACATGTTCCGTGCCCGCGGCCTGCACCCGCTGCCCTGCCCGCACATCTGGTGCCTGGAGAGTGAGGCTCCAGCGCTGGGTGCCAGGCCCAGGGAGCCCGTTCCTCCCCCGCGGCCGGGGGTTTGCCAAGCTGGTCATCTGCGGTCAGCAGGCCCCAGCGCCAGCGCTCTTCCTCCAAATGAAGGGCAGTGAATGGGCATGAACTGGGAGCCTGCCACGTTTCCACACACCACTCCGAGCTGTGGAGAGAGGAGCAGCCAGTGGGCTCCTGGCTCGCTCTAACTCCGCCCGGACTGCGGCTGCATTCTCCTGTTCGGGCGCTAATGAGGTCTTGGTCCTTACTTCTAAATCCCTTTTGGTTAGTTTTGGGGAGGAGAGGTTTTGTAAGCCAGATTTAGGCTACCACTAATGCAAACTGCTTTCTAAAATGTTACGGCAACTTCCAATTTCAGCAAAAATGTATGTGCCCACTTCCCCACACCCTCACCTGTACAGAACATTATGATTTTCAAAAGTCCCTGCCACTGTGACAGGCTAAAAAGAATATTTTATTGTTTTAACTTGCATTCAATCACTAATAAGTCTAAGGAACAGGTGTTTCTAAGCCTGAGATTTTATACGGGGTCCCCCAAGTCCCCTCCGCTGGGTTCTGATGGACCTGCTGGTGTTTTCTAAGCAGAAGCAACAAGGAAGAAGTGGGTAATGGGAAGCGCCGTTTCAGAACACCGGGACTGTGCAGTGTGGCACGGAGCATTAGGGAGAGGGGTGACCACATGTCACCCTAATTCTCTCCATCAGAGCACTGCCCCAGGCACTGCGGGAGGCCCTCAGGAGAGACCACTGCTGGGGGCACAGAGTATGCCCAGGCAGAAGCAGTGCCCACAGAGGCCAATGCAGGGCGAGAAGAAAGCGCCGTTTCATCAGTCCTGTCCGGGGGACAAGAGCAGGCCTGGAACCTTCCTGTTCTAGGATAGTGCACTCACCGGAAATGATGGGAGAGAGTCCCAAGTCCAGAATTTCTCCTCTCCTTACTATTTCATCTCAGACATAAACACACTTCATTCTATCACCTGAGTGTTCAACGTAAGTGGGGGTTTCGTCTGCTGACCGACAATATGCGTTTGATTGAAAAAGGCCACGCGTTCCACGGCCTACAGCTCTCACCCTGTGACTGTCGACCTTCAGTGTGTGGAAGAGGCCCTCGCTAGTTTTATGAGAACTTCCTTCTCATGCACATCGTCTGGCTTGACTGTGTCCGTCGGGGAGGACCAGCTCGCGTTCTGACTTTCCGGGCTATCAATGGCTACACCACACAATTCCTAGGTTTGCCTTTAGTCGGGCTTTACAGCACAGGCCTCTCTTGATGCCCTTTCTGACATGTTGCTACACCAACCCCCATCTAGGCAGCTACACTTCACTCATCTTAATGTCACAGGAGGCCCAGCTGGCATAGCGCATTGGATGAGCATCAACTTATGAACCAGGACGTCACAGTTAGATTCCCGTCAGGGCACATGCCCGGGTTGTGGGCTCAATCCCTAGTGGGGGGGTGGCAGGAGGCAGCCCATCAATGATTCTTTCTCATCATTGATGTTTCTCTCTCTCTCTCTCTCCCTCTCTAAAATCAATACAAATATATTTTTAAAATGTCAGAGGGATACATTTCATTCAAATTACCTTGTTCCCTTGGAAACCCAGCTTCAAATCTGCCTCCTTTAGGAAAAGCGTCCCTGGCCGCCCTTCCCCACAGCCGGATCCAAGAGGCTCGCCATACTCAGCGTATACTGTGGGCTGGATTTGCTTGTGTTTACACATCGTTTTGAAAACATTTATGAGTAACTTTAATACGTTTACGGCAAGCTGGCCGTAGCCGCCCTCAAGCATGCTCACCGCAGCAGGCAGTGGGCAAGTGACCCCACCAGAGTGCAGCTGCGCGGGGCAGGCAGGAGGCAGGAAGCTGCCTTCCTCTGGGAGTGGGGGTCACCAGGGCACAGCTGAGGCCTGGGAGGCTGCTCTGACAGGAGGCCGGGAGCCACAGGCCCCACAAGGGCTCCAGCTGCCTGGAGTGACTCCTCCACCTCCGCACACCTGACAGCAGCCCGGACCCAGGAAGAGGAGGCTGTGCTGGGACCCTGCAGCCGAGCACTGGGTGGTCTGGGAGCCCCACCTGACCCGACGCGCAGGGCGCCGGGGAGACCACACAACCCAGCGCCAGGAAGCACCTTGTGCGCTCAGAGCACCCCGTGCAGCACACATTCGGGCTCCTCACTTCCCCACAGTCCTCACTGACTGGGGGCAAAGAGCCTGGGGGTGCGGCCTGCCTGGGACGAGCACCCACACTCTCAGAAAGGCGCCGATGGGTACAGTGTGGGTAAGTGCCTAAGCTCACACTCACACCCTCTTAGCGAGGTCTCCCGATCACTTTGGGTTGTGTTACGCCCATTGTTTACTCAGTTATCTTCATGATGTCACACGGCAAAGGCAGAGCCTGAAAAATGAGGGGCAGGAGGGGGATGGCGCCAAGGTCGCTGTTGGACGGGGCTTCGCTGTTGGACGGGGCTTTGCTGTGAGGGCTGTGACCGCCCTGCCTGGTGGTCCCCTCCCTGCGCCCTGCAGACGCCCTCGCTCACCCCTTCTACCCCGCAGGCTCCGGGATCTGCCCTTCTGCTACTGACAGACACTGGGCTTTAGAATCAGAAATGTTACCTGGTCCTTGTCCACAGGCCCTAAGCCCTTGTGACCTCTTATACTGGAGCCATCGGGGTGCCTAGAGCATGTTACAGTGTGTGTTTCGTCTCGGTTCCACGGCTCAGAGCGAGGAAGGGGAAAGGGTCTGAGAGCACGTGCGGAGGGGTCCCACGCGGCCCACGCGGGTATTGGAATCCTGGTTCCCACTCCACCCCAGCGTGTCCCAGAGAAGCACGGGGCGATGGGGCTTACCTTCTCCTGACTGCTCAGCTCCTGGTACGGGATGTGGGCAGGCAGGTAGGTGTGGAGGAGCGCGCAGAAGGCCAGGCCGTCGCTCCAGCTGCTGCTGAAGTTGGTGATGTCGATGTTCTGTGGGGAAAGCAGCGTTACTGTCAAACTGCATCACAGAATCTGAACGAGACTGTGCCAGGGCGGCAGCTATCGCGGGGCTTGCTGTGGGCAAGACAAGACACGACGCAAGTCTGCCAGGAGTGCCTCTAACTTCGGTACCAGAATAGCATGCTGCGGCCCAAATCTGCGCACAGGACAGCACAGGAAAAGGCTGCAAGCTCACACACTCTAGGTACCCCATGGCTCCAGTATAAGAGATCACAAGGGTTCAGGGGCCTGTGGACAAGGACCAGATAACATTTCTGATTCTCACACACTCGGGATTTCTGTCGCCTTTGGCGGATGGGAGGCCGACCGCCTGACTAGCTCTGCACGTCCCAGCATTGCCAGAGACGTTGCCAGGGACGGGCAGCCCCATTATCAATGGCTGGGCCAGGACAAGCCCCTCAGGGCAAGCCTGGCCGCTCCTCCGCCACACTCTCTCCTGCAGCGGGCGGCTTCCAGCAGGACACACGCCAGTGCTCGGCCTCGCCCGCTAGCACACCACGCATGGGACCGTGGGGCTCATGGGGAAAGGAGCTCCCTGCAGGACAGGCAGGAGCCGCGGGAGTAATGACAAACCCAAGGCCAGCTCCATACGGCAGTCCTCGGGGGTGACGGGGGTTCTGGGAGCCGGGTGCGCCTCCACATCTAAATCCTCACCCCGGTCACCACTGCTGCTTTCCCCCGACTCTACTGATCCTAACAGCATCTCTTCCCGGCTCACAAAGCTCGTCCCAAACGAAACGTCAGGTTCCCAGGCCCGCGACCTCTTCCCCGCACAGGCTGAGGTGTCTGGCTGCGTAAAGGCACGACGCAGCCTGTGCCAGGGCCTGGGAGGGGCGCCCAGTCCCGCTGCTCCAAGCACTTCTGCTCCGACCACAGGACTCGGGGACTGGGGGGCTCCTTCCTGTCCTCTCCGCGCAGCCGCTGGGGAGGCAGCGGGCTCTGCCTCCTCAGAACCGCGGGAAGGTAGGCAGCCACACCAGCCACCGAGAGGGCAGGCGGCGACAGCCAGTTTTCTGGAGTGGACCCTGGCTACTTCTCCCCCCAGCTCGAGCCCAATGCAAGCTTCCCACCCCCAGTCTGCACTGCCCGTGGTCTGTAGAGGCAATGGCACTAGAGGAGCAGGTGTGAGGGGAGCAGGCCAGGAGGCCCAATCGCACGGGAGACGTACAGAATTCTCAGTGTGTGTAAGGACGGAAACGTGGCCCAGTGGCCCAGAGGCTGAGCACTGACCTATGAATCAGGAGGTCACGGTTCGATTCCCGGTCAGGGCACATGCTCGGTTGCAGGCTCAATCCCCAGTGTGGGGCAGTGCAAAAGGCAGCCAATCATTGATTCTCTCTCGATTCTCTCTCATCACTGATGTTTCTATCTCTCTCTCCCTCTCCCTTCCTCTAAAATACACACACGCACACACACACACACACACACACACACACACAGTAGGTCCTTGGGTTACGTCGGAGATCTGTTCCTATGGCATGACATAACGTCATTTTCACCGTAGGGCAGAACCCACCTACATAAGCACCTACGTCATTCACATGGAGCACATACACAGCAGTAATGAAATGAAACAGTAAAAAAAATTTAAAAGAAAGATAACAATTCCTGACCTTCACTTGTGGTAAATAAATAATAACATAAAGCACATATGTCAAATGACAAACTTTTTTTAATAAACAAATGGGAGATAGCGACGTAACCATGAAACGACATACTTCAAGTCTGACGTATCCCTGAGGACTGTCTGTATATCTCTCTCTCTCTCTATGTGTGTGTGTGTGTGTATATATATATATATATGTGTGTGTGTGTATATATCTCCTACGTCATTCACATGGAGCACATACACAGCAGTAATGAAATGAAACAGTAAAAAAAATTTAAAAGAAAGATAACAATTCCTGACCTTCACTTGTGGTAAATAAATAATAACATAAAGCACATATGTCAAATGACAAACTTTTTTTAATAAACAAATGGGAGATAGCGACGTAACCATGAAACGACATACTTCAAGTCTGACGTATTCCTGAGGACTGTCTGTATATCTCTCTCTCTATATATGTGTATATATATATATATATCTAAAAGGCTAATATGCAAAGTGTTCCTTCAGGAGTTTGATCAGGAGACAGGGAGTTCAATCGCTCACTATGACATGCACTGACCAACAGGGGGTGGCGCGGGACATGGGGGGCGACCAGTGGTGGCAGCGGGGCACTGAGGGAGCGAGGGAAGGAGAAGGTGGGGAGACGGGGAATCGCGTGGTGGTGGCACGTGGGTGGCAAGGGAAGAAGGAGGCAGGGAGGCAGGGTAACTTGATTGGCCCTGATCGCTGGCCAGGCCTAGGGAACCTACCCGTGCATGAATTTTGTGCACCAAGCCTCTAGTATATCTATTTACTTATATAAAAACCCTGGATGTAACATCACGACCTGAGGCGCAACCAACCGGAAGGAAGTCAGTCCTGCAGGGGTTGTCTTGGAAATGGCTGCACCCTCCCCCAAGCTGTTTCCTGGAGCTGTTTCCGGTATGGGCAAGGTTTGAGGCAGGAACCTGCCCTTGGAGCGTGGAGAAACATCTTTATAAAGTGTGCCGCGCCAGCACAGCCAAGAGTGAACCTGAGTTGGGGCGACTGAAAGGCTTAGAAAAGACAGGCAAGGGAATGAAAGCTGGGTCTTGGTGGGACGCTGCTTCTCTGGAGAGACAGGGACCATGCCCCCAGCCGTGTCTTCA